CATAGTTTACTGTACTGTAGGTAAATGTACTGTAACTAAATGTACAGTACCATAGTTTACTGTACTGTAGGTAACTGTACTGTACTGTAGTGTAGGTTATCATGAGATATTTTGATGATGTTATAGACAAATACAGTAATTCTACACTGAAATGGGCCAAACCATACCGGCTGCTCTTTTTGTTCCAAGTTTACATTTTATTTCGTCCTTACTGCTCAGGAGTGCCCAGAGGAGATGTTTGTAAAGGGGGTGTTGCAGCCCAGTCTGGAGCAGGGACAGCTCAGCATGCTGCAGGGCGTTCTGGAGAAACTGGACCCGAGCCTGGACTCATGCAGCCGCTACCTCATGGCTTCCTGCCAGTTCCTTCAGAAACGAGGGTACTTTCACTGCCTGTACCAGCTGCAGCAGTTCATGATGGTACGGTCCGGTCTGCTCCTTCATGGAAAACCTTCATGGCCTCATACTGGTAGAAAGATTGTCATATTGTTGTAATGTAGCCTTTGTTTTTTTAGATTAAATCCTTCACAAGAGATTGTGACTTTTTTATTTTCTGCATCATTAACTGTGACCTGAGGAATTGTAGCGATTCAGTATTTTTCACCAAAAAGGCTAAATGTTGGGTAAAATTCAGTTTTTTAAAAAAAAATCCAAGATCTTGAGGGTTTTGTTAGCTGTTCCACTAGTCATCCCACAGCTCCCCACATGTTTCTGGTGCCGTTTATAAACTTTAAAAAGACCGAGCTGCTCTAAGGTTTTTAAAGTTTTGTAAAAAAGCTCAATTTGAACATTTTGTTGTTGTCCATGTTGATCTTTTACACACAAGGATTCTTGGTGAAATGGAAAGGTGCAGCTCATTAAAATCTGCAAAGCAAGAACTACAAGCTAAAAATAGCAAATCAGTAAAGCTAAGATGGACAAAACACAAGCTAAAACATAAAAACCAGCAGCGTAGTAGCTGAAAGCTAACATAACATTTTAGCTAAAACAGAAAAAGAGAACCTGAAAATGTAGCGAGTGCACTGAAGTTACAAAGAGCACAACGTTTTTAAGGATTTGAAGGGAAATCAGAGCATCTCAGAGAAACGGTTTCCATAAAGTCAAACGATTCTAAAAGTACAAAAGTTACCAAATACACAAATCGTAGCTAAAACTTCCTGACCAAGCCGAACGTTTTCAGATTTCTGAACATGAGCTAAAGTTGTCCAAAGACTGTACAGAACCATTTGAACCAGCAGCCAGTGGAAACCTCTGACTTCATTTTCACACAAATAATCAAGAATAAAGTACATTTTTATGTACAATTTATGGCCTAAGAACATAAAAAGCTCCGTTTTATTCTCAAAACTGGGCCGTAGTTTATAAAATTATCATTTGGACTTTAATCGAGAAGCCCTAAAACTTTATTTTGTTAAAGGAATCAACTCAACTGTTAAAGCTGCAGAACAGGAGCTGGAGTGAGTCGAACATAAACTACGAGCTAAAAGTAACAAAACAGTAGCTAAAGAAGCTAACATGAGACGTGGAAGTAAAAGCTAAAAGCAGGATAAGAAGACCGAAAGGCTTTGTTTACTTTTTAAATGATCCAAATGTTTTCCTGGACAGGATCATGTCCGTGCTGCCATGACCTGCATCAGGTTCTTCTGGCACGGAGCCACTTCATACCTCCAGCTGGGGGAGCAGCAGGTCTGTATGAGAAATATGAGCCATGCCTGTTTTAGAGAGTTCTCCCTGTGACACTGACTGTAACCCTGACTTTGTACAGCGCTGGCTGGTCCGAGCTAAAGAGCACCTGAGGACGTACCTGCAGGAGCAGCAGGGTCGAGGTCCTGGGAGGAGGAGGTCAGCCGTCAGCTCTTTCAGGAAGATGATGTCCTCCAGCGACGTGTCCAGGTGAGCGGATGAATCTAAAGAAAGACGGTGATGAGATGTAGCTGTCGGTGTGGTGGAATCAGCGCAACACGTTGTCACTGGCTTTACTCAGCCAGGTTTACAGAGGTTTCCTGTATTTAATGTGGTAGTAGCTGAGAGTCATCCCCAGCTGACCAGGTCATGAGACGTGGACGTCATCTACGAGGTTTAACCAAAAACTGCTGCAGCTCTGTCGTTAAAGGCGGCGGGTGATGTGCATTCCTTCTGGGAATGCCAGGTCTTTTAACTTTTTTAAAGTCCAGATGTTTCCACATTTTCTCAGGCACATGAATACGATCGAGCTCCAGCTGGAGGTGACTCGTTTCCTGCACCGCTGTGAGAGTGGGACGTCCTCTAAAGCCCCTCAGACCAGCGCTCAGTCCCCCAAGTCCTCCAAGTCCTCCCAGTCCTGTTCTCTGCCGACGCTGTTTGGAGGAAGTCCGATGAAGATGGAAGTTGCTTGCAAGGTGAAGTTCTTTCACTTCCTGTTGGTACCAGTTCATGTTTTGCTGTAGAACCAAAAACAAAAGGTTCAAAACAAAAACAGCTGGACTCTGTTGAGTGAAACCCTGTAGCTCAGGAGGGACGTTGATGCCAGATGTTTTAAAATCAGTTATATTTTTGTGACTTCTGATGTTTCAGGTGATGCTTGGAGGGAAAAACATAGAGGAAGGTTTTGGAATTGCCTACAGAGTCATACAGGTATGTTTCTACAAGAACTGAGCACCTTTCTTCTTTTTAAATGTAGGAGTGTCTTCATAAACATCAAACTTGTAGATGGGTTTTATTTACAAAGATATGTTAAAACAGTTTGGACAGATGTGTTGGTACTTTAACAATTAATATTTACATTGTATCATGTTTCATACGTGATGTTTGACCTTAGTCTGAGAGGAGCCTTCAAGCCTTCCATCAGACATTCAGTCTGTTTAAAGGGCTCAAACAGCCACTGGGTAGTCTGGTTTGGTTCTGTTCACCCCACTGAACCTGGAGCAGAGAAAAAGCTGTCTGAGGAGTTCAGAGAGAAAAATATAGATGACCATGTTAAATGTAGAGGCTACAAGACCTTCTCCAAGCTGCTTCATGTTCTTCTGACCACAGCTGACAAGAACAGTTTTTATTATTAGACCTTTATTTATACACGTTAGTTCCCATTGAGCCTTGAAGACTCGTTTGCAAGAGAGACCTGTTGCATACAACATACAGGCAGATGAGAAAAAGAGAACACAAGGATGGAAGAAGCAAAAAAAAATCACATCTCGCACCATGTCCTGGCCGGGAAACTGTACAAAAGATGCAAAAAAAGACCTTGCAACATAAACAGCACCATACAATGACATCATAATACATTAACCGGTGAGTTATCCATAAACACTCCAGAAAGTTCCAAAGTTCTGATAAGATGGTACAGTGTCCATCTGCATCATGGTTCTGATAAGGCCACAGACATCCTCGGGAGGGGGGAGGCAGGCAGAGCTTCTAGTTACGTATCCTCCAGGAGCAATTTGAGACAAGTTGGGCTGTCCAAGGCCAGCGGGGAGGCCAAAGTCAGATCAACAACAATTGTTTGGGCTGCCAGACTCTGTTTCCTGTCTGCCTTCAGTTCTGCCGATACGTTCAATGGCGAATCCAAGCACCAAGATTAGTGGACATTCTGCCCGGTCCGTGCTCGATTCAGCTTTCTCCAAGATTGAATCCTTCATGCTGGCGAGATCCAGGAGCTCGTTAAGCATACAAGTCTGAGCGCTCGAAGCACGAATTAAACCTTCACATAAGGCTGGCAGCTTTACCATGGCCGAAACTGCTGCCGATGTCTTCCTAATTTGTCGATATCCTAAGTATCCACTAATTCCAAAAAGCAGAAACCCTATTATCATAAATCCAATAATGTACACATCTTCTACGTCCTCTACGGACAGAACAGATAGACACATCATCTTCCAATCACCCCCACTAATCAATGACATACCCAGCTGCGTGGGTCCGTTCAGGGCATGAGGGCTCTCCAGCACCCTGTCGTCTGGTGGAAAAAATGTTAGCAATTGTGTTGAGGGACCAGCTGACCAAATCCACAATCATTTTCGATTCGAAGATGTGTAAAGAGAGGCTCTGGGGTTGACAGGACAAGAGAGCAAAAAAGCAAGGGGGAGGGAGGGAGGGTAAGAGTGACCGCCTTTGCTGAAGGCAAAAGAGAGAAAAAAAGATATTCTAAAGTATAAGAGTCATAGATCTAATGACAACTTCCCAGGATGCGGACGCAAGAAGAAATGCAGCCCCAGGTTGACTAGACAGAGTGTGAATGGTAGAAAAGACACCAAGGAAACCAAACTACCATTCAAGTTGAACTCCGAGGTCAAGGGAGGTCACTTTTTGTCACAGGTAGCAACGAGGACCGTATCGTCAGCATAAGTTGTTGCCATTTTTACCCCCTTACACTGATGCCAGACATTTCTTCTACGGCTCTCAACACATACTCACTTTGTACGGAGGACAGATCTGGGGACAAGACACAGTCTTGTTGCACACCTCTTCGTCTTCACGGGCTTTCCAAGTTTGTTTCCATACCGTACCAAAACCGTGCCAAAAACTGTTCTTTATGATTCTTAGGTCTCCCCCATCGACCTTCAGTTCCTTCAGTAGAGTGGTCAGATGTTTGTGTTTGATCATAACCCACGCTTTACTGTATCGCTTGTTGTTCCGGTCATTTCATTTTGGTAAATTCTAATATTCAGCTGAATCAATGTCTGATTAGTGTTGAATATGAAACATTTCTAAAGGATCTTTGTCGGTCGTTGTTCCAACAAACGAGTCCGTGTCAGGATTTTTCTTTTCTGAATAGAGTTAGGCATCAATGTCAGTGACTTCCTGATCTCAGATCCATCATGAAAGGTTTGTCTTTGCATCAGACGGTGACGTGCCCTCCGTCTTCTGTCCCTGCAGGACTTCCAGCTGGAGGCCCAGGCCGTCTACGTCCAGGCGGGTCACCGGCTCGTTCGGTACCGGCAGTATGGAGCCGTACGCCAGCTGCTCAAATGCGTGGGAGAATCCGGCACTGCCACCAAGAACGACTGCGACGCCCTCGTCCTCAGCTGCGTCTCGGCTGCAGATAAGGCTCCAGCTGATGTGAGCAGCCGAAGTGTTTGGAAGGTTCCTCCAAAATGAGACGTGTTCTGTCCGGACTCACTGTTTGTGTTTTTTTTAGGCCAAGGAGCTGGAAGGTCTCATTCTGGAGATCAAGAGCATGGAAACCAAGGTAACCCTCCTGACCGCAGCTCCTCTGAGTCCTCTCTGACCTCCTGAGGCTCGAACAGAGACCGGTTCCTGAGGTCCGCTCTCAGTCTCTGTTGGTTCTCCTCTCCTGCAGATCAAGGCGTACCTGCTGTGTGGGAAGCTGAGGCCAGCGTACCTGCTGGCGGTGAAGCTGGAGCCCAGCCGGGCCGGTCCTCTGGTCCAGGATGTCCTCCAGGCAGCAGAGGACACCCAGGACTCGGTGATGCGGAACATTTGCAGCCAGTGGCTTTCTGAACACAACAAGGCATCCCTGCAGGGTCCGGGCCGACCCGGTGCCAGGTGAGGGCTGAAGGAGGTGCTTCAGAGGTTCTGCTGGGCCAACACTGTGCTTCAGCTGACCCACATCACTCCCAGCAGGACACAGCGACCCCCCAGGCAGAACTTTGCCTTAAAGCCAGAACCAGAACCTGTCTGGGCTGCAGCTGCTGGAGACGAGCTGGAAGAAACCCGGTTTCAGTCTCTGAGCTCTGAGGCCGCGGCGTGAGCAGAACTTTTTGAAAATGAGGCCTTCGTTCTGTGCACAGTACCTGGTTCTGTTTTCAGCCCACATTGGACCTTCAGCTGGTGAAGCCTGGCACATTCAGAGCAGGTCTGGAGCCCCCTTTGGACCTGGTCTGAAGGTTCTCCGTGAGAGGAGACAGCTTTGTCTCCTGAGACGGATCAGAGACACCCGGGACAACTGGAGGACTCTGATGGACGTTTGGAGACATTCTGAAGACAGCTGGACACTCCCTGATGGACGCTGGTCTCCAGCAGCTGCAGCTCAATCAGACGTCACGTCCAGGTGGTTCCTGCTGGATCAGGATCTGCAACCTGCGGCTCCGGGGCCACGTGTGGCCGCGCCACAGAGGGTCTGAACCTCTGAGCCAAACCTTCAATATAAAAGCACCAGAGTGGAAATATAAACGAAGTCTTTCTGAGAACATGAAGGAAACGTCTCCTTTGATAAAAATCAGTTCATCAAGTGGAAAATAAAATTCATCCAACAAGTCCAGCCGTTATTTTTACAAAAATAAAAGCAGGAAGAAATCTTCAACAAGTCCAGCCGTTATTTTTACAAAAATAAAAGCAGGAAGAGATCCTCAACAAGTCCAGCTGTTATTTTTACAAAAATAAAAGCAGGAAGAGATCTTCAACAAGTCCAGACTTTATTTTTACAAAAATAAAAGCAGGAAGAGATCTTCAACAAGTCCAGCCGTTATTTTTACAAAAATAAAAGCAGGAAGATCCTCAACAAGTCCAGACTCGTCGGATGACACAGTCTTCTGTTCTATCATCAGCAGTTTGTTGTAGATCTTTATTCCAACACAAACTGCAGTTCAATTATTCATCCAGACCTTCAAGCTTCAGGTCCGGTTCGCAGCTCTGGACCCGGTTTGTTTATAAGAACAGCAGCTCTTTACATGAAGAAGGTTTCAGGCCTGAGTCTTCAGCTGAGAGCTCTGTTCCAGAAGTGGGTCAGAACTTCAGAGAACTGAAGGATTGACGGACCCTCCAACGCTCAGACGTCCTGCAGAACCACAGGAGGTCCAGTAAGCACGACCTTCAGATTAAAAGATGTTTGACTTCCTTTGTTCACCGGGAAATATTTGGCATCTCTTTATGAAATCTTTTGACTCTTCCTCCGACACTGACGCACATTTGAAGAACATTTGATGGTTCTGAGGTCAAACAGGACTCGTGGGTTGACTGGCCTCATCATGAGACCTGGACTGGTTAAAGTGGGCCGAGCTCCCGTCAACCTGATGTCGTCTCGTCACCTCTTCCTTTGCACACTGCCCTACTTTCTGTGAGATCCTGAACGTCTCTATTTTTGTACAGAAGTTGTGAAACGATTAGGGCGTGGGACAGACGTGTCCACTGCGCTGTCCTGATGGATCCTGGTGGTTCGTGTCCTACCTCAACCTGAAGGGTCAGCTGCTTCCTGTTTGTTTACAGCCTGTGTTGTTTACTTGTGATGATGCCATTAATGTTTCTGCCTTTAAAGGTCAGTGTGCTGAGAGCACGAGGCTCGTTGTGACTTCTGTTAACGAGCACGTTCAGTCTCGTCTCTGGTCTGAGGGCATTGAAAGGGATTCACTTTGTCACGTTTTTACACCAACTTCAAGTGGAGTTTGTGTGAAATCATTTGTTTTTGTATGAAAGCCATTACTGACATTTATATTAGACTTAGAGACATGGAGAAATTATTTGTTACCTTCTACATTACTTTAATAAAATCTACTGATGTGCCTGGAACTAAAAGACTCATCAGCCCCACAAACTTTGGGTCTCTGTTATTTTTCTCTCATTAATGGAGCTTCTGGCTCTTAGTGCGACGTCCCTTCATCTTGGAGATCAGCTTCACTAGTTTGGATCTTTGGTTTTTCTACAATCTACGCGCTCAACCTGGGGTTGCATGACCTCTTGCGTCCACATCCTGGGAGTTCTGTGAACCTTCTATTTACTAATCTTGTCAGCTGTGGTCAGAGGAGCAGGAAGCAGCTTGGAGATGGTCTTGTAGCCTTTACCTTTAACATGGACATCTATAATGTGTATAAAGTGTTCAGCCTGAGGTGAGGTGTCTAGAGGTGAGAGTGAACGGTTGTTTCATTTTTCTGTGTCCCTGTGATGGACCGGAGACCAGTCCAGATGTCCCTGTCATTTCAGTCTGGTTCAGAGCAGCTTCACCAACAACTCCGTTTGGATTTTATTTTTTTAAATCGGAAACGATAAACCGTGAACTTAAACAGAATCCAGAAATTCTAAGGAGCAGCCTTCTTATGAAGTTTCTGTTTATTTCCTTAAAATGTAAACATTCAACTCTTCACAATTAATTTATAACGATACTAGTTCAATAAAAGGAACAGCCGAATCCTGAAACAAGTTAAAAATCTAAAACCTGAGGTTTGAGCAGACACAAAGGGTTCAAACCTAAAATCAGAATTTAAAAAAATTACAAAATTGTACACAAGTATTATGCTTATTATAAATAACTTGTATACTTAAAGTTGTAAATGAAGCTCATCCTCTAATAACTCATAAACCACTTTATTTTTACTTTCAAGAAATGTTAAATGAAGTTCTCTTTAAAGTAAAAATAAAGTGTTAAATGCTGTAAATGTTAAACCCAGTAATAAAATAAGCAAATTGTGGAGGAAACAAACATAAGATTATAAAGTGTTGTTGTTTTTTTTTTACCCTGCATTACAATAGATTAGTTCGCCTTTTTATATTTTTGCCTTCACGAGATTTATTCACAATGTGTCACAAAAATAGTCGAAGTAATAATACTTTAGCTTTAAGAAGCTCTTGTAGAGCACCATGTTACTCAAAATATTTAAATATAATTATTTTTGCACAAACACAAAACTTCATTGTTTTATTATTTACATGAAAAACTTTATCACCAGATGTTCTGCTGATGTTCAAAGGGCAGAACATGGTCACTAAGACTGAATTGAGAATAGAGCCTGATTAGTAAAGGTGATTTAGTTCCACTCTATGCCGAGAAGCTGACAGCTGGCGTCCCACAGCCTCCTCGCCGTTTCCTCGCTTCTTCCCTGAGGAGCTACGAAGGCAGGAGAGCAGTCACTGGAAACAAAAGAACAGGTGTTACAGAAGAGCTACCAATGGTGAACAAGTGTTACAGAAAGGCTCATGATGGTGAACAGATGTTACAGTGTCGCTAATGATGTTGAACAGGTGTTACTGTGGCGCTAACGATTGTGAACATTTATTACTGTGGAGCTAACGATGGTGAACATTTATTACTGTGGAGCTAACGATGGTGAACAGGTGTTACTGTGGCGCTAACGATGGTGAACATTTGTTACTGTGGAGCCAACGATGGTGAACGGGTGTTACTGTGGCGCTAACGATGGTGATCGGGTGTTACTGTGGAGCTAATGATGGTGAACAGGTGTTACTGTGGAGCTAATGATGGTGAACAGGTGTTACTGTGGAGCTAATGATGGTGAACAGGTGTTACTGTGGAGCTAACGATGGTGATCGGGTGTTACTGTGGAGCTAACGATGGTGAACAGGTGTTACTGTGGAGCTAATGATGGTGAACAGGTGTTACTGTGGAGCTAACGATGGTGATCGGGTGTTACTGTGGAGCTAATGATGGTGAACGGGTGTTACTGTGGTGCTAACAATGGTGAACGGGTGTTACTGTGGAGCTAATGATGGTGAACAGGTGTTACTGTGGAGCTAATGATGGTGAACAGGTGTTACTGTGGAGCTAACGATGGTGAACAGGTGTTACTGTGGCGCTAACGATGGTGAATATTTGTTACTGTGGAGCCAACGATGGTGAACGGGTGTTACTGTGGAGCTAACGATGGTGAACGGGTGTTACTGTGGCGCTAACGATGGTGATCGGGTGTTACTGTGGAGCTAACGATGGTGAACGGGTGTTACTGTGGCGCTAACGATGGTGATCGAGTGTTACTGTGGAGCTAATGATGGTGAACAGGTGTTATGGAAGGACTCGTGATTAACAGGTATTACTGTGAAGATATATCTGTACATAGTTTTTTTTTTTTACTGTGCAGCAGCTGATGTCCTACCTGAAGTGCTGCCCAGAGACAGAGTGCAGCTCCTCAGCCACAGCACAGTAAATGCTGCTTTGAGCTCCTTCTCTTGGGGTTTTCAGGAACAAGGAGAGGACGGTGAACATTATCATCATGAGGGTGGAGTGTCGGGTCAGGTCTGAGTTCACGGTCCCGGGGTGGACTGAGTTCACCGTCACGTTGGTTCCTGCCAGAAACAAAGAATTCGGTCACCAGAGGAGATCATTTTAATACAGGCGCAAAAGTTGACTCTCCTGGTCCTGAGCAGATTACCTGTGCTGAATTGTTTGTTTATCTTTGAGACTTCTGGATTGTTTGTTTGTTTACCGTTGAGCCTGTTGGCTCATTTGTTTGTTTACC